GGCTACTGGCGACAGGCCCCTCCGGGCGAGGGAGGAGAAGACGGCGTGCGAGCAGTGAATCTGGGGGCTTAGCTTTCCTTCTTTTCCTCCTGGTCCAGCCGCCCACCGAGCTCCGGCGGCCAGGGGATGTATCAGCCCATCTGCCAGGATGGCCCGGGGCGCGATCTCGGCGGCATTGAGCCGCGCTGCATGCAGTCAGCCTGGCCGATGTTGGCGGTTCACATTCCCGGGCGATCGCCTGAGGGCGCTGGGTCCCTGCTTCCCACGGCCGGGGCCGGGCGCCGAAGCCGATCACCAGTGCGCTGACGCGGCGGCCCGCCCGTGCCCTGCCGCACCCAGGTGAGGGGCATTACGTCCCCGGAGGGGAGCCCAGACAGCCCCCCGGGTCCCGACATTGTGCCCTTGGCCACGGTGCCGCTCCTGGGCGTTCATACCCCCACGGCCGCCGAGATGCACATTCTTCGTGGCTTTCTCCCCCGGCGCTTTTTGCCCAAAGGCCCATCCCACCTCGGGGCGTGGGAGATCTGCACCTTGGTCCTTGCAAATGAATTCAAACACACACACACCCTCTCGATAATCCACGTACACTGCAGCGCACGAATGATAATCAGCCACGTGCCACTCACCGACTCATGTGCATGTGCACAAGGGCCCGAGCCCATGTCCGGCTCTTGGGAGTCCCATGCATGTGTGTGTGTATGTGTGTGTGTGTGTGTGTATGTGTGTGTGCGTGCGTGTGTGTGCGTGCGTGTGTGTGCATGTGTGTGTGCATGTGTGTGTGCATGTGTGTGTGCATGTGTGTGTGCGTGCGTGCGTGCGTGTGTGCGTGTGTGCGTGTGTGCGTGTGCGTGTGTCTACCCATGGGATGGCGACACCATGCCGCCCAGGCCGCCCTCTTCTCCAAACACCCGGCCAAACAGGGGCCACCCAGCCAGCAAGGGGCTCCCAGATGGCCCCCCCCCCCTCCAGTTCTTGGCCCTTCATCGGGCGAGGTTCGCTCACGAATGTGTCCGCCTGGCAGAGCCAGGCTCGCCCCGCCTCGGTGTGCCAGGCCGAGTGTACTGATTGGCCCCGGACCCCGATTGTCCGCGCCCCCCCCCCCCC